TGGCCCAGGATCAGACATTGTTTTGTTCTGCTGTGCATGGGGTCATTATGAGTCGGTTCCGACTCGATGGCACCTGACAACAATAACAGCAGTATATACAAATTTTGCTACTCACATTTCTATCCATGTGTCTTCACTTGCTCACTAAAATTGATTTGTAACCCAGAGTTGGCACTACTCTCAGTGCTTTCATGGTCATTTTTGGACATGCTATAATGACAGATACAAATACGACAAAGAAAAATGGCCGACAGAGAGAGTGTCTGTGTGTGTGTGTGTGTGTGTGTGTGTGTGTGTGTGTGTGAGTGAGAGAGAGAGAGAGAGAGAGAGAGAGAGAGATTGAGAATGAATGAGTAGTGTATGTGTGAGAGACAGAGGTTTAATTTTTCCTGTTGGAAAAAGGAAGGCTTCCCTTCTCTCATTCCTTATTCCTGGGCTTCTTTGAAATGCATGTAAATCTTTTTAAGGGCTATATAGCCCTCTTGCCAACTTTACAGCCCAGGAATGTAACATCCAGGACCTTATATTTGCAACAAGAAACCATTTCCCTAAAATTATAGTCTATCAAGGAAGATAACACTACATCTCCAGTTTACTGGCAGAATAGCAGTCATCTTTAGCTGGTAAACCTACCTCTGGGCTTGAAGACATGAGTCTATTATGTACTTCTTTGGATGAATGCAGTTCATAATCACCAGTAGCTGTTCCAGTGACTAGGTGAATTTAGGCGGTTTAGGTCTTTCCTGTCTCATGCTAGCGAATGCACTTCAAGCTCAGCCAATAATGGCTGTTATTGGAGGCTTGCGTGTTGTTAGGATGCTTGACAGGTTTCAGGAGAACTTCCAGAGTGGAAAAAAGAGCTTGTGATTTACCTTTGAAAGTCAGCCAGTAAAAACCCTGTGAATCAACAGTAGTCCAATCCCACTGTCCATGTAATCACCACAAGTCAGAGGCTGAATTGGCAGTGTCCAGCTACAACATGGAGCCCTGGTGTGGGGCTGTGAGGTCAGCACTGGACTGCTAACCACAAAATGTGTGTATGGTTCAAACCCACTAGCCGCTCGCTCCATGGAAACACTGTACAGGGTCACTATGAGTCAGAATGGATTCAATGACAGTTCACAACAACTGCAACATGGTAGAGTCTTGGTGTGGCTCTGTGAGATAAGCACTGAATTGCTAACTGCAAGGTAGTTCACACCCACCAACCGCTTCTGAAGACCCCATACAGGATTACAGTGACTCGGAACAGACTCAGTAACTCTTAACAGCAACTACAGTGTGTGACAGGTTGTGCTGAAAGTCCTGCTTTAAGGCTAGTGATCATTCTTGATGCGTACATGAAATGGGTTACATCTATTTGGCTATATAAAGGATGAAATTCCTTTCTCACTTTGTAATTGCTCTAGTGTATTGCCTCGGATGCGCAGCACATTCTGGTTTAATGCTTATTCAGTAACCAAACTTTTTCTTTCTCTTTTACTTTTGTGAAGACTCTGGGTTAGTGTAAGATATTGTTTTTAATTATGCTTCCCCATTATTGCACAAAAGGAACGCTATGGCTCCGTAGTATAATCACTGGACTAATAACCATGAGGTTGGTGGTTCAAACCCATCAGTTGCTCTGAGGGAGAAAGATGAGGCTTTCTGCTTCTCTAGCATTTTACAGCCTCAGAAACCCTATACCAAGTTGCTATGAGTCGGACTCATTGTCACCTAACAAAACACAGTGCACGAAAGAAAAGAAAGTGAAAAACCTGAGAAATAAGACTGCTATAATAATTCTTGTTTTCTCTTTTAAGAGAAAATAACCAATTAGAATGTTTAGTGTATATTGTGTATATATAATATGATACTTCATAACATGATAGTATGGTAAATTTTAATGTTAATAGAAAGTAAAGTCTCTCTTTGTTCCATTGATTGCTTTGTATGTTTTCTATATAGTGAGCATTTCATCTGGTTATTCTTTACAGTTTCATGTATTTTTTGTTTAACAGGTGGCAATTTGTACCATACGGATGTCTCACTCTTTGCAGAACCTACCGAATTTGAGTATTTGCGAAAAGTGCTTTTTGAGTATATGATGGGTCGTGAGACTAAGGTATAGAATCATGTCTGGTGATTTGGCATGTGTTTTAATGGGTTAGAGAATGTGTCCCTTTTTTAATATGCATATTGATAATGTTTTTATTACTAGCTGACCATACATGTTAATAATAGGCAATAGGTTACTCCTAACCTAAAAACGTCAATTGGCAGATCTTATATTTATTGCAGTTATAAATTGTTAATTTTAAAAATGGTTTTGGATGATGCTAAATACTAAACATTTAAATTCCATTAACTAGGAAATTTAATTTTCCCAAAATTAAATAGTTTGGAAAGCATGTGGTCATTTTTGTGTTTTGTTTTGTTTTTTTGACTTTAGAGATTAAAGTTAGGAAAATAGATTTCATTTACATGGAGACTGTAGAATAATGTGAATAATACTGGAAACAGTCATAATTAAGAATGGCTATGTAGGAAGATTTAGAAAATTTTACTTTACTGTAAAAAAACTCCATCCCTTCACTATGAAATATCAGTTATTTTAAGATTAGCACTTCATGTTAATAATAATGTTTAGCTAATTTTTTTCTAGAATGTTACATTTATTATAAGATCCTTGAGTTCAGGGACTTGTCTGACTCTTCTGTCCTTTACAATGTATTAAAAACAGAGCCTTATATATATTGATACATACTGGATATTTGGTAATTATATTGAATATTTTTAATTGAATTCACTGCATTTAGGGAAATTCTTGGGTCATTCTGAAGCAAATTTTTTTATTTAAAGCAATTTCTGTTTTTGAAGTCGTTTGAATTTTTTACTTTCATGATATTTTATCCTGAGTGTGATTGAGAGAATGAGTTTTATATTCATGGAAATCATTGGTGTTTGAAAGCTGTGTATGTGGATATATCTGACTCACAAGATGATAAGCCAGTTCAAGGGTTGATTTGGCAAATATATTGAAAGGTAAAAAGCACATGGTAAAAAAAATCCTTAAGGAATAATTATGAATCTGTAGATTGTAGAGTCAGATAAACATACCAGGCATTGTAGAGGTAGAAGTAATGGGAATCCTATAATCTGCAAAAATCATATTTTCACTGCATCAAATAGTTTTCAAATTAATATTATACCTAGTGTGATTGACCATGGATCACAGGAGGAATTGTATTACCTACCAGTGATTTAATGTCTTTGTAAAATTAATGCAAAGAATATCTAAAACTAATTTTCTCCTTATCTTCTCAGAAAAAAATTTAGCATTCTCTTATTGTGTTCTCAATGATCAGCAACCTGGATTTGAGATGGGGTAGAGTGTTTAACGTTACCTTGTTATTCCAGTAGGGAGAAAGTGATTTCTTTAAAAGTGAAAAAAAAAGCCTTTCAGAACATTAGCTACTGTGGTTTATTATTGAAGCTAAAGTTGCATTCTCAGTGTTATTGCTTAATAAATTATTTGTGCTTTGCTGTGATCTGTGAAATGAGACTTGCTGCCTCAGCCTCTTTCTTCTGGAGGTTGTGAACTTGTGTGGGATGAGATCTGTACAGGGTTTAAATCTCCCTTGAAGAATGACCCAGAAAAGTTCTAAGATATGTTTTGGGGTGGTCCCATTTCAGCCAAGTCTAGGATTGTGCTTTCAGGGTCCTGCAGTTAATTTTAGGGTGTACCTTTGTAGCGCAGGGCACAGACAGCCCCACCTAATAATACTTAGTTGAGAGTCCATGTTGAAGTGTGCTCTCTCTGGTCTTTATCTTTTCTGACTACTAAAAATCAAGATTAGTCTATCATTCTGCCATCACATTGTATAGGTAAATATTGAAAATCAGCATCGCTATTCAGTTTAATTTATTGTTTACTTATTAAGCACTTACTGCATGTGGCCCTTTGTTGATTACCAAGATTGACAGAAAGCTCAAACTTGACATCATCCCTTACCATTAAATGTAGTTCACCATATAGTAGGGGCTGTTCTCATTTAACCATAATGTGATGCAGATTGTAAGAAGGGCTATTAAAGAGCGGTACCCACCCACTGTCATCAAAATGGTTCTGATTCATAGTGACTCTATTTAGGGTTTCTGAGACTGTAAATCTTTATGGGAGCAGACAACTTCATCTTGCTCCTATGGAGCAACTGCTGGGTTTGAACTGCTGTTGTTGCATTTACCAGCCCAGTGTCTAACCCATAACACAAACAGGACTGCTGAGTGAGGTACAGAGTTTTCAAATTACCTGTGGAAGGTCAAGGAGCATATCATAAAGAATGTGGCATCTGCACTGGCCTTGAAAAGAAGGGATAAAGTTTGATACAAGCACTCAGTGGGAGGCACAGTCCAGATTGAAGGTTTAAGGCAGGACACTGAGTGTAGATTTTTAGGATAACAGGTAATATGGCTCAGATATACATTGGGTCGTAAAGGTGGAAATGATGCCGTATAGGGCTGCACAGAATGTGGGAAACCTCACAGGGTTTCAGAGTTTTACCTGTAGGCTTTGGAGGGTACTGCTCAAAGTTTTTGAGCAGAGGTTGATAAGTTCAGAGCTATTTTTGACATACCTTTTGCTTTTTTCTTTTGCCCATTGTCTATACATTAAAAAAGAATGTGAAATGGAGACCAGGTTGTGGTTAGAATGAGCAAGAATCTATATTGTGGCCTTTGTGACTTGATTACCATCTGCAGTTGTTTCTTGTGTGACAGGATTTGTATGTATGTCACCCCATTCTGTGTTTCTTCCTGTGCATTTGCAAATGCTGTCCTTATTTTATGAGGCAGATAACTTGTTTTTAAGAAGACTACATTTAGGACACACAGTCATACAGTGTAACATTAAGTGAGTTCCTTCATTCCTTGTACTTTCTTTTTCCTGGGGTGTGATCCTCCATGCCATTATTGATACTGACATTCAGCCTGTTGCCCTTTTTTCTAAAAAGTGTTTCCCATCTTAACCTTTATTGAAGACGCTTCTCCTTAAGGAAACCTAGTAGAAAAGGGTACTTCTAGATTTGGTGACTCATTTGAATTTTTCCTTACTCCCCAGGGCCTGAGAATATGATTTATAGAGTAGGCAGTCTGATTTCTTTCCTCGGGTATGGTAAAGAGCCTGGGCTTCTCCATGAAGTGTTTTCAGGCAAGCCAGGGGAGAATGTTAAGTCTTTATTGGGTAATCAGCTGCAGATTTGGAGTGCTCATGAATTTAGAGGTGGGTTTACCATTTAACATTGTCTGGAAATGTGAAGAGACCACTAGCTATTGTCCTTTTGTTTTGTACCCCAGGCATGCTTGTATGTACATGTATATGTGGTTTCATAGTCAACATAAATGGACTTTTGAATACTTTGCACTTTATCAGCTATTGAAAAGAAAGAAATTGTCAATCCCTGAATTTTGCATTTTTGTTGCTTCTGAAAATAATCTTTATAGATAATATATAAAAAACTTTAAAATTTTGCTTCAGTGTTAATTTTTAAAAAATATTGAAATAGTTACTACAAGATCATTTGTTGTTGTTTTTGTTGTTGCCATTTCATGCAGCGTATATGCCTGGTTTCTAGACTTCAGTTTAACACAAAATTATTTTCTATCTAATCAATACAATTTAAAGGATGAGGGTTTCATAAAGTGTTTTTGGAATTCTCTAAGACCTAAGCCGTTGTTTAAAATGGTGCTTTTCTGATCAATAGGATGGTTTGTTGTTGTTGTTAGTGCCGTGAAGTCGGTTCTGACTCACAGCAACCCTATATAGGATTTCTGAGGGGCAGCTGATAAACCTGAACCACTGATTTTATGGTTCAGACCAACTTTGCAGTCTAGAACATACGGTTAGAGATAAAAGGAATAAGAGGGCTGAAACAAAAGTCTTGCCCTGTGTGAAGTTTATGGATAAAGAACAGTGTTAGTTAAAATAAACCGCGGAACTAGTACATAAAAGGAATTTTTAAAATACTATTTTTCTTCCTGGAAATAATTATCCTTTTTTTCCTACTGAGCTTTCAGATATTTTTGTTAATTCCATTATATCCGCTTTTCCTTCATAACTGACCTCAGCTCCCCAATTGCTGCCCTCCCCCCAGTGCGCGCACACGCACACACATACACACACACGCACACACACACACACACACATACAAAGTACTATATAACCATGGTCAAAGAATGTTAGGGTTATTCTTCTGGGCACCTGCTGTCAGATGTAGGAATCCCAGGAGAGCACTGCCACTTGGTATTATATGTAAGCGCTGAACTTGTTGTCCTACTGATTTCCTAAGCAATATCTTCTTTCCTCTCTGTCTTCCTCAAAACATCTCATCTTGATACAAAATAGGGACTTTCAACCTTTGAGGAGAATTTTCTACGAACTTATGGGTGACAGTCTGACTTACGGTATATTTATTTAGATCTGCACAATTTATGATCTTGTTTTGCAAGCCACCATGTGTAATGTTTTGATTCATCATGTTTTCTACCAAACAAAACATCTTGTGTTTATTTAAAATGTAATTTGTATTTGAGTTAGGCTGATGTTTTGCATGTCTTGATGAGTACCTACTAAGCATGTTCATGTTCATGCAGTAGCCCGTGTTTATGAGATATATGATGTGATTCCGTTCAAGAGGAGCTTGGGGGTATCTAATTCTGATTATTTAGAGCATGTATTTTGGCAATGCATCACTTACTAGATAGATGTCTACAAAGAAAAGGCCTTATAAAATGAATAAGTAATAAAGTTTCAAGACAAAGAGCCAAGAGCTTTAGAATTTGTCATAGCTTCATGCTATTGTAATTACTTCATTTAAAACGATCATTTCAGACATTGTGAGGAGCCCTTTCAAATTGAAATTCTGATGTTGGCTGCTATTTCCTTGACTAATACCTTCACATCATACTTCTTTGGTCGTGGCTTCCATTGAGAGCACTAAAGAATCCCACCAGCAGAACATGTCAGAATGGGCTGAAACTTCATCTGCTTGGCTGTCTGTTCAATGACTACCTCTCATTTTTCTTGTAGACCATGGCAAAGGTTATAACCACTGTACTGAAGTTCCCTGATGACCAGACTCAGAAAATTTTAGAAAGAGAAGATGCACGGCTAATGGTAAGTTTTAAAAGTAGGCTTGATATAGAAGATGACTTTGTCTTAATTATTTATATTCTAGCTCATTAACAAAGAATGATTAAAAGCAAGCTAAAAAACAAAAACAAAATCTTTATTATATCATAGCCTGTAAAATGAAAGTGGAACTATATTAAGAAAGTTCAGTAAAGGACAAATGTAAATGTGTATACCCTCAAAGGAAAAATATTTTTAATAGCATGTATGAGACTGACTCCCATATATGCTATATGGGATTTTGAGAATTTGGGAAAGGAGTTTGTTCTGGTTGACCCAATAATAATTTCTTAAACCAAATTGTGTCATGAGGCTATATGTTTATTGATTGTAATTTTTTTTATTGCACTTCAAGTGATTTCTAAATACAATAATTCTTCATGAAAGGATTTAAGCATTTTTTAACTTTGGCACAAACTACAATGGAAATTTAGACAGATTAATGAATTTAGAAACCATTTGTATGAAGTCAGCTTTAATTGAATAATGAGACACATGCTTTATAAATTATGCAATAATTTTTCATGCCTTTTTCTCTTTGCCTTTTATTTAATGAGAAGGTCCACCTTAATCAGAGTGTGGGACCCATGATACTTGTATCCTCCACCTAGTTTTCTCTTTCTGCTGCCATATTTTGTCTTGCTCGTGGCCAGCAGCACCTTTTATACTCTCCCTCCAATTTCTTTATGGATTCCGTGATCCTACTGCTGCTGCTCCCATCTCTCGCCTCACCAGAGCAAGCATGGACCTTCTTCTCAGAGGTGGATTAGCCTTTGTATGACAGTCTCCAGTAATAAGGATTGAGACACTAAATAATTACCTCTCAGAGCATTTTATTTTATTTCTGACAGACTGTGTTCCTTAAAATGTTCTTCACAATGTTCAAATCTCCCTCTGTGTAGTGAACATGTTTGTTCTACTTTTATTTGTTTTGGTTCTCATTGAACTCAACCAAGTATTTGGTGTTGGCCCAGATAAGGGCTTTTCCCCTTCAAGTTCAGTATCCCCAGTACTTAATGATTTATAGCATTGCTGTCCTCTGACCATTGCATATGGCCAGTCGTGAAGAGGCCCCGTGCCTCAGACACATTCTGACAGCTCATCATAGCTCCCCCTAAGTTCTCAGTACTGATCCTTGTCCCAGTACTGTGTTGTATGTTCTGTTGTCTCCTGATTCTGTATGTCCTGTGACAGTTGCAGTTATTTTGGTTAGCATTTAATTCTTTTATATTTAAAAAAAATTATTTAATAAAATATATAAAACAAAACATTTTCCATTGTTATGTGTACAATTGAGTGACATTAATTGTGTTTATCATGTAATGTTATCATTGGTGGTGGTTACATGCCATCGAGTCAGTTCAGACCCAAAGCGACCCTGTATAGGGTTTCCAAGGAGCAGTTGGTGAGTTTAGACCGCTGACCTTGTGGTTCAAACCAACTTTGCAGTCCAGCGCTAAGCCTGCAGCGCCACACCATTACCACTACCCATTTCCAGCGTTTCATTGTTTTTTTGTAAAGGGACCCTCTCCTTGGTATCTGGTAGCCTGAGAAGCATTGCTATATCTCTGTATAAGTTGTTTCTGGTCATATGTATTTTTTGACAAGCAAATACATCACTGTAATAAAATAAGTGCCCTTCATCAATAGAGAGAATTGTTTTAAATTAGAGATCTAATTTTATAGACATGTAGTCATTAAGAGTAGACTTTGTCATCTTTACAACTGTGTTGTGAAAAATAAGTTTCCAGTGGAGTCCTGGTGTGATGCTGAAGGATAAGCACTGGACCACAAGGTTAGTTTGAACTGCAGGATGGCAGTTCAAATCCACTTGCCATTCCTAGGAAATCCCACACAGGGTCGCCATGAGTCGGAACAGACTGGATGGCACTTAACTCATTCTGAATCAGGCTCTGGTAGATATGGAAACATGCCCTTGCCCTTTATACACAGGCAGCCTTGGATTGGTTTACTTGGAAGGTAATTAATGGAATTGGTAAATGTAAGTAATGAAACCTTTTAAAGCAGAATTTTTTTTTTAAGTTTTGCTTAAAATTAAAAATTAAAATTCTTTATTCCTAAATGAAGTGGTCTTCATTTCACATCCCAAATGGTGGGATGTTGGCTGACTGATCCCTTATCTTCATTGAATAATTCTCCCGGTGTGGCGCTGTAGGGTAAGCACTGGACTGCTAACTACAAGATCAGCGGTTCAAATCCACTAGCAGCTCCTTTGAAATCCTATACAGTGTTGCTGTGAGTCAAAACACACTTGATGGCACTTAACAAGAACAACCATCCTAGGTCTGGCATGCCCAGCAACTTCCATTCTTTTCACTATTCCTTTAAATAAAGTCTCATTCTTTTTTGTTTGCTTTGTTTTTGCTTAATGAATGAGTTCCTTCACTAATCATCTACTCTCCTAGGTGTTATGACAAATAGAGGAAAATAAAATACATGGTTGTTAACCTTGTAGAACCTATAATTTATATGGGAAAAGTAACATTCATTGATTCATATACATGAATAAACATATGCCCAAACAATATAATTCAAGTAACAAGAATAGATACCTAAGAAATATGAAATAGGTTATTATTAGGAATGTGAAATAGGGTAGTTCCCAAGATATGAAAATTAATTTGAGTTCTTTTTCTCAATCCAAGAAGATTCTTGGTAAGCGTGATCATTTGTATATTTGCTGGAATATTAAGCTCATTGTTAGTTGAGGAAATTAAAGCAAGAGTCACCTGTACCTTAGGGTTGCTGTCATTCATAAAATGAGCAGTAAAAATGACTGGTCTGGAACAAGTCTCTGGAAGAAATTTCAGTTTATTTCATACTCCTGACCAGTGAGCTCTGCTCAAAGCTTCACTAGAATAAAACATTTCAAAGACCAGTGACTTCTCTTTTTCTACTAGGAAGCATTTTATTTTATAGGGGTAGCAGTGATGATATTTAGAGAAAATTTAGAGAAAATAAAGCTTGAAGCATAATCAGTAAAAACCTTAGTCACATTAGTGTTTCTGTGGCGTCCTGGTGTAACTATGTAGTATAAGTACTGGACTGCTTACCACAAGGTTGACAGTTCAAATCCACCAGCCACTCCTTGGAAACCCTGTACAGGGTCACTATGAGTCAAAACTGATTCAGTGGCACTTACCAACAAGCTTTTCTATAGTTGTTTGTGAATGTGCAGCCACAGTTTCCCTTCTTTTAAAATAAGCAACCTTGGGTAGTTTTTTAAAATTTTACCTTTAAAGGAAGGAAAGCTGGTAGAGAAACTGAAACAAATCCTAGACACATTCCCGAGCTGCCTTCCCATCTATTAATATTTGGAAGGCTTTAGAGAGTGAGAATTATACTTTGTGTTGACAGTGTATATAGTACCTACTAGTATATGCATTGCTTAGCAGATGTTATAAGAGGATTACATTCTAAAAACTTTGCTTTGTGATACTGATGATTGTATAGTTACTTTGTGGTATTGATCACAATGCCTGCTAGTAGGTATTTCTCAATCTTTTTATTTTTTGTATCATACTGTACCTCCCCCAGTGAGTTTTATTCTCTTTGTTTGGAAAATCCCATTGCAGACTATTTGTTGTTGTTAAGTGCTGTCAAGTCAGGTCCGACTCATAGCAACCCTGTTATATAGGGTTTCCAAGGAGCAACTGGTGACCTTGAACCACCAATCTTGTGGTTCAGACCGACTTTTGCAGTCCAGTGCATTATCCCACAGCACCACCACCAGGACTCCTTGCAGACTCTAGCAGTTATTATCTTTTCAGAGCTTAATCTAATTTCAGGAGCCCCTAGGTGGTGCAAGCAGCTAAGTGCTTGATTAGTAGCTGAAAAGGCCGGTGGTTTGAACCAAGCCAGGGGAGCCTGGTAAAATAGGTCTGGTGGTCTACTTCTGAAAGGTCACAGCCTTGCAAACCCTGTGGAGTTTTCTACTCTGTCACATGGGGTTGCCGTGAGTCAAAATCAACTCGACAATAACCTAATCTCAAGAATTTATCTATTAGTTGAGAAACCATAACCTGTCAAGTAAGATTCAATTATAGAAGATAATTATAGTTTAGTTTGTCTGAGGGTTTGGTGTCTAGAACAGATCATGCAGTGGTTTAAGCACTCAGCTGCCAACTGAAGGGTTAATGGTCCAAATCCACCAGCAACTCTGCAAGAGAAAGATGTGGCATTAATATAGGGTAAAATATTGAAAGATGCAGAAAGTACCAATAGAAGATGGAAGGAATACACAATCACTGTACCAAAAAGTAATGGTTGATGTTCAACCATTTCAAGAGGCAGCATATGATACAGAGCAATGGTATTGAAGGAGGAAGTCCAAGGTGCACTGAAGGCACAGGCAAAGAACAAGGCTTTGGGAGTTGATGGAATACAAATTGAAATCTTTCAACAAACATATGCGGCGCTTGTAGACACTTACTCATCTAAGTTAGTGTTTCGTTCTCTTGTGTATAGGGTCATTATGACTTGGTACCGACTTGGTGGCACCTGATGACAACAAGAAGGATTGTTGAGGGACCAGAAGATAGTGTCTGCATTTTATTTTATAGGGGTAGCAGTGATGATATTTAGCCATCAGGTAGCAAAGTGTAGAACTAGTCTTTTCCTGGAGAAGAGACTTGAAAAAGTGAACTCATAATTAGTATGTGTAAGGTAAAGCATTAAGAAGAGCTCAGTAGACAGGCGAGTCAATATACAGGAATGACACCACCTGAGAAAACCTCTCTCTCTCCAGTTCCAGCCCCTTGGGGAGCCAGCCATCTCCATGCAGCATTGCTGTGCTGAGAGCCTGCAGCTCTGTCTCTCAGCACACTTGTATGATTGACCGAGCCTTTTTTCACATTTCTGGGCCTCAGGGGCAAAATAAGGGTGTTGGATTTTACTATCCCTAAGGTTTAATTTTCTTCTATACTATTACATTAATTGTAAAGTTTTAAAAAATTTAGATTTGTTTCAAGTGGAAAGACATTTGCATTATATACCATGTTGTTATGTGCCGTGGAGTCGGTTCAGACTCATAGCGACCCTGTACAGGGTTTCCGAGGCTGTAAATCTTTACGGGATCAGAAAGCCTCATCTTTCTCCTGCAGAACAGCTGGTAGTTTCGAACTACTGACCCTGAGGTTTGCAGCCCAATTCGTAACTACTACACTTCCAGAGCTCCTTATATACCATAGGCAAGATAACCCTGGTGTAGCGCTGTAGGATAAGCACTGGACTGGTAACCACAAGGTTAGTGGTTCAAACCCACCAGCTGCTCCTCTGAAACCCTATAGAGGGTCTCTGTGAGTCAGAAGAGACCAACTGAATGGTAGGTAATCACAATAGCAGCAGGTGAGATTGAAAGAAAATGTGTACACCCAATGTGCATACCTTTGTCTTCCTTGGAGCAGCCGTTTGTTCCTGTCAGGTTTCAGTTTATTGTGGTTGGTAGTGCATTTTGTGATGGTTTAGGTAGTATACATGGCTAGAATAGACAAGATGTGTGAGTGACAGGATAGATACAGGTGTCAGTACCAAGTCCTTGGCTTGTCCAATTGTTTTTTACTGATTGAAACTGCCCTAGAAGTACACCCAGATTTGTTTTCTTTTTTTAAAGAGGGTGTTTCTTCTTTGGGATTATTTTTTTAAGAAAGGTTTATAATAAGTAGGTGATAGATCACTTGCTAGAATTGAGAAAATTTTTTGCCATATAGAAATCTGTATTTTCAAATGTTGCTAGAAATGTAATTTTCTCTTCAGACCTTTCCAGAACTTACCTGACGGGTTTCAAGTAGTTGGCTACTTTGTTACTGACTCTTTTGAAGAAAAATATTTCACTTGTTTTCATTCCTTATCTGTTCTAGTCATTTAAAAAGGCTAGACCTTTGTTCACTTTGTTTTCAACTGATCTTGGCTAATCTGCCTTAGACTAGTATTTAGTTAACTTTACTTAACTCATTTTCTCCTCTTGGTTGGAATTTTGATAAAACTCTTCAGAACTCTTCAGTATTGATAGATACAGACCTTTTCCAATCTAGAGGAAGGTTTACCATTTCTCATTCCATGGTCTCAGTAGACGGATGCAAGGTGCATTCAGGAAACAAATGCAAATAGAACTGATGGTAGTGACAGATTCTACCATATGTAAAATACATGTTGAGAGGGAATTATGTAGCTTGTGATCATTGCAAGACACATTACAAGCAATTTAGATGGAAACATATTTTATAGACAGGTAGTGTCCCATGGTCTTCAGCTTCCAGTCTGTGTCCACCATGCTAAGATCACTTCTGTAAATCATTTGAGGAATATCCTCAGGTTTCTAAACTATATAACCATGCATTTATAATTATTCATTTATTACCTAATTATTTTCTAGAAATGGGACTAAACAATATGTACTATCCAATAGCTTATTTATTTCACTTAATATATTTTTGTATTTTACCTAATTGCACATGGATCTACCTCATTCTTTTTAATGACTAACTGTATGTATGATAATACAGATATCTTACAATTTAACCAGTTTCCTATTTGTGTACACTTAGATTGGTTTTAGTTTTTGAATACTTACAAGCAGAGATAAAAGGAACATCCATATAAGTATATATTGTCTACTTCTGCACATTTTCTTATGCCATTAGCTATATTGTGTTTTGTCTGTTGCAATTATTGTTTTCCAGTTTGTCTTTTGATTTTGCTGCTTTTTACCAGCTTCACATTCAATATAAAAGATAAATGAGATTTCTGACCCTGGTTAGGCTGCCCACATATAGGGCAATGCGATGACTGTATCATAAGCACTAGACTGTGGACCACAAGGTCAGCAGCTCGATTCCACCAGTCTCTCCATGGGAGAAAGATGAGGTTTTCTGCTCCCACAAAGACTTACAGCATTAGGAAGACTGTATGGGTGTGCTGTGAGTCGAAACTGCCTCAACAGCATGTAACAATAGCAAACATCCACATTAGGCTTAGATTTTATAAACAACCCCTAGTTTTTTCTGATTTAAAGCCAACAGGTAAGCTAATATATGATTTTCTGGTTATGACTATCAAAATAAAACATAGAATTTGTTTAAGAGGTTTGCTATGGTGAAACTTAGAAGATTGACTTCCATGGCATTGCAGTTTTTATTTGGGACAGCATTCCTGAAACCATTCTTGATATAATGTTGAATTATAAGACAGTCATACAGAGATAATATTGTACAGGTAGGAGAGAGAATTCAACATATATAGACAGCCTTCATTTCACATTCATCAACATTTCCCCCAAAACGATTGATGGTAAACAGATAATGTAAATCAAATTTTAATTTGTATTTTAAGGGAATTATGAAAGAAATACTTTAAAAAGTGTATCATCACTCCCTAATTTATCTAGAATATTGATACATGCTTAAAGTGTGATATGCACCTTTAATTATGTTTAAATTTTTTAATTAAAGCTGCACACACAATCTCAGCTGTGCAGTGTTGTATTTCCATAGGATGGCTAGAAGTATTAACATATTCCTTGAATTTGCCTGTACTCTGTTGCTTTGGGACATTTGAGAGAAATTTAAGTATGCTCTATTTAATCATAGGAACCTAATATACACATATAATCTGTGTTACATTAAGTTTTAAAACTAACCCAATAAGCTTTTTTTCTTCCTGGCTGTGTAGTCTACTTCACCTCGCAGTGGTATCTTCTGAGTAAACCATCAGTCTGTGCTTAGGTAGCATGTGGGTGAGTGAAGAATAATGTCTTGTGTCTTTTGTACCAAAATCAACTGTTTTGCATGATATTAACCATTTTACTACAATTCTTTCTGCTTTTTTGCTTAATAAACATATGATTATGCCATGGGTTAATAGAAATACTTTGTTAATTGTGATACATTGATTCTGATTTTCTGTTAATTCTGATAATATAGCTTAATAATCACCAGTAAGATTTTTATTATTATAGGCAATTATAGTTCTTTAAATAGTTGTTGCAAGTTTCAGTATTGATCTTTGAAATATGTCAGAGGTCCAAAAACAATATTTGATATTTATGTGTCTTTTTGTTTTCAATTTCCTAAGAATGGTTTTTGAAATTAATATACAAATATGAGAAATAAATTTCTAGATAAAAGAAAAGAGATGTATTTCACAAACTCAGAATTTAAAAATACAGTAAAGCCTAATTAGAGTCTATGCTAGCTTTAAAATGATGAAAACTATAAAGACTGCTTCAAAAATAAGTGCTGTTATTACTTTTTTAAAATGATCATATGTTATTACTTCTTGGGGTGGGATAGTTTAACACAGGGTAATGCATTTATCCAGAGGAAACACTTACACAGCCATCTTAAATTTGCTGTGGCTGTTTATAATGAACACATTATTACAAGTGGAGGCAACCACACAGTTGACTGTCTTCACCTTTTAAACACTCCTCCCCACTCTCTCTCTCTTTCCACTTTTCCAAATAATGCCTATTGTATTTGTGTACATATATAAAATCCAGAATCCACTCAAAGATGGTACCTTGCTTTTAGGTGGCCTGCCTTTTTTAGTCTCCTCTAAACTACAGCAGGCCTCTCATGTCTTTCATGACATTGATGGTGTGTAACAAAGGAATTTAAGTATAAAACAAGATCTGTTTCTTATATTTAGGGTTATATACCCAACATGATGGTTGAACTGGTTTTATAATTAATATACTAATAGGAATACAGGCAGTCCCCGGATTGTGAATTTGAGACTTACGAAACACTCCTACTTGCCCTTTTGTTGTTAAGTGCCATCTGTGTGGTTTCGGCTCACAGAGACACCCTATATAGAGTTCTGAAACTGTGAATCTTTGTGACAGCAGAAAGCCTCATCTTTCTGATGCATAGTGACTGGCGGTTCCAAGTCCAGTTATTACGCTATAACACCACACCAGGACTCCACTTGCTCTTTTAATGTTATGTAAATTTGCCCTTACTTTGAAACAGTTGAACCAACCCCTACTCAACAAATTTTTCATCACAAGTACCTTCCTTCATCTGGTGCACTTGCAGCTTTTTAATCACTGAAAAGACTTTAAGACTAAATATGAACCATGTGCACCTGTTCATACTCACCTGAAAACTCCTCTATAAAGACTGAAAGACTCAGAGACAAACTTGGGAACTGATCTCATTCGTAATCTGGGGGACTGCCTGTACATCATAAGTAATGGTTTAAATTTTTCATTTACAAATTGAGAAGACTTTAAAATCTTGATACTTTCCACTGAGTATGTATGGAAATCTTATTTCTATTAATCTTCTTTGGTAATTCATTTTAATGACTATTTTAACTTCATATTTGATCTGGTTGACTATTGGATCAGCTTTTAGCATTTTAATATGAGAAGCCTTATTAGGAAGGTTTTGGCTTGGTTTCTCATAGCAATTTATGTTTGTTAATTTTAGATGAGATTTGGCTTTTGTACATCAAAATAGTGTTATCTTTTGCTGCAGTGCCCATCACTGTGGGATAATTGCAAAGAAAAATTACAAATTAGAAGGAGGAGCTCCTTCTCTTTGTTAAATCTAGTCTTAAGAGCTGCATTCTTGTGAGGTTTTGTCAAGTTAGCATGATTACTCTTGGGCTTCTTAATTCTGACATGGTAGCACTCAGTGCTTGGTGAATTGTTACAGTTCCAAATTTCTGCTCAAATGCCTTTTTCCAGAATTGCTTACTAGAACCCACTTTGAATCATTCTAAGAACAAGAATTTTAGAAGATTCCTTTGAATTTGAAAAAATAGACTTTGACAAAAAAAAATAATAAAAATTTTTTTTAATTCTTTTTTCCTTTTTCAGTCATGGCTCCGATCTTCATCTTGAAGAAATGGGGAGAATGATGTTGGGCAAGCCTGCTGCTTGGAAGATTGTCCACATTTGTAATTCTTTGAGAATGAAGCTGTTATTCAGGGCCTCTCGTGTAGCCAAAAGACCAAGAAAAATATGACATAAAGGCTCACAGATACACTGCAGACTTCCTTTAAAATAGAAAGGATCAGTGGAGAAATGCTGACAAGGTTTTTTTTTTCTTTTTACAGTTTTATGTTGGGAAGAGTTTTATGTTGTTTAAAAGATATTTTTACTAAGTTAACCTGATTTATGAGTTCACTTAATATTCCCACTATCCCATTTGGCCTTCTTTTTAGAGAGCTGCTTGCCTTTCCTATTTATTTTTAAGTTGATTTAAGAGAAAAGACTTGTGCAATATATTTTGAGGTGAGACTTAGTGGGTTTTTTTCTGATAAATTAGAGCATTTAACTGATTATTTTTTCCAGATTGATTTGTTAAATATTTGCTAAAGACTAGCTCTTTAAGCTATGACGTGATAAATCCAAATGGCAGTACCTCATTGTTTACTTACCTTTTGTACTTACACTTTTTAGAGCAAACAACACTACTGTAAATTGTAAATAGTCAGTACATAGTTGTATGCAGATCTGTGACTACTGACAATGTCATCTTGAAGGAACAGATAATAAAGTTTATTTACTGTATAAAGTTTGCTTATTGTGCTTTCCTTAGTTGAGATTTATTTCAAAACAGTCAAGAATCTGTGGTCTATCTATGTGAATATGTTGTTGTTGTTGTTGTTAAGTGCCATCAACTCAGTTCCAACTCTTGGCAACCGTGTATAGGGTTTCTGAGGAGTGGCTGGTGAGGTTTGGACTACCAACCTGAGGTTCAAACCTACCTTGCAGTCCAGTGCATTATCCTGCAGTGCCACACCATATGAATATAGTGATAAACTATTTGTCAGGATAACTAAATACTGAGCATTTGCAAGGATTTTTTTTTCTCCCTTCTCAAAATTAGCATGACCAAATTAGAAGATATTTGGAAATAAATACTTTGTAGTATATGTGTTAGCGTTCTGCCATCTTCAGATTGACTTTTCTCTTTGGAACAGACTTTTTTTGTTGTTTTAATGTTTTGTTGCGAATTATGTGATCATTTACATGGGAGAACATTATTTTTACTTTCATCCTATAGTATATTGTTTCATTGCCATGGTTACAGTTCCCTCCATGCATCATCAACCAACCAAAGAGTATACCCCGCAAGCCTGTCCCCAGGTCGTCTGCACAAAAACCGATCTCCCTCTCTGTGTCTTAAGTCCCCAGCTGCTTCATCTCTCTGCTTCATCATCTCTGCCTCCAACTTACGCATCACTGCTTCTCTGGGTAGGGTCCCGCTCTATGCTCTTCTCCCTTGATGTCTCAGGGACCTCCGCACCTAGACTGCAAAGTTAATCACTCCTCTCCTTGCTACAAAACATCTACCTTTACATTTCCAACCTTCACAGTCAGTCCTGATCACAATTATAAACTATTGTATCACAAGAGACCTATCTGCATTTCATTTCATCAGCCCCGCCTAGGCAGATTGGATACTACTTAGTGGAGATTCTACCTTCCTCCACACCCTCTGGATCCAGGTTCCGTCTTGAAAGCTTGTAAGCCAGTCACTTCTTGCTTTGTAGCCCCCCATTTTGTGTAGCCAATGTCCAAGTTGCCCATTCCTGTCTACTCTGTGTGTGGAAGGGGTGGGACTGATCCTCGCTGTAAAGACTTGTTCCCTCTTGTGAGCTACTGCATCCATAGGTATAGGTCAAGTTCATCAAATTGTATCAGATTACTCTTTTTTCTTCTTCTTTCTTCATCTAGTTGACCTCTAACCATCCAGTCATTGAAGCTAG